ACTGCTGAGGAGTCCCACGATAGTACGAAACAGCTGTCCAGTGCTTCCAGGTTTTCCATGGTGGTCTAGCTTCAATTGACTCATGATCTCAACTATTGAAATTGCTACAATCTCCACAAAACCCCTTCTGATACTTTTCACTAAAAATGTTTTGGTTTAGGGTTAGATGATTTTATAAACAATTTTTGAATGAATTGTACAGACATTTCAGTAATAATTATTATCTTCAAAAAACTTCAAAAATATCACTCATCTATCAAGCTGATGTCTTTGTACTCAATGTTCAAATGAGTATGAGTCTCAAGACAGTACAACTCAGATTTTTTGGATTGCTTCTTATTCTTCATAAGAAGATCATCTGATATAAATAGAGAGGCTTCCTATTCTTAATAATACATGTTCAGAATTTCTTCAGTTATTCATTAACCGCAAAGAGATTTAAACTTTTCACTACAGTACTTCAAGTTTGAGTGACTTGACTTGTATCAATTACTGAGACGAAGAAACTAATTTAATACGAAATCATTATAAGACATGGTTTTTCGCATCACTTTTATCACAGAAGACATCTATTGAATACGGTACTAGTTAAAGATAACTTGATACTAATAGAATGTTTATCGGGAAATCCATTTCTGTATATTCATATAGGATGGTCAATTTGTGGAATCATCTACAAAGATATAGAGTTGATTAAAACTGTAATTTTTGGAAAGATATAGATTACACCTTTAACTTTCTAGCGCGTCGTGTGGGATTAACCTTAATTTAATTGACTACAATTTAGAATGATTTTTTTGTTTCTTCAAACATATCTAATAAATCCCTGCTATATTATGTAATCATGTTTCGTCATCAATATTCTAGATCTCTCGTTTTAATTGTTTATAAATAGTATGGTAAAAATCTTAATCTCAAACTCCCTTAACTTTTAAAGAATTTACTTTCTGATTTTGTAAAAATGTATTTCAAGCAAACTTAACCGAACAGCTGATGAAAAAAGGATCGAAACATAGTCAGTACATTGTATTCTGAAAATATTGTTATTCACTTTCGTGTAAACACCATTCATTTAAGCTTAGGGTAGGTAGAGAATCAACGCTAATTTCAATTATAACTTAATTCATATTAGAGTCCCATTAATTGCAGTCCTTAACATCAAAAGGAAGATTTGAACGACCAGTACAAAAACGAATTAAACTTCATCCAATTGCAAAAGGCAATAGCTATCTGAACTCAGTAACTAAGTGGATAACGCAATGGTGTTCGAAGTAAACGATACTGGGCTCGGGTCCCGGAGTGAACATCAACTCTGTGATAAAGGTTCATCCAGTGGACGAATCCCAATTGAAACGGAACGTGTATCCTAGACTTCACTGTTAGCCTCTATCTATCTCTGCTTTATTATTATTCTACACAAATTTGCTATAGAGAACTTGTAGTGACCTACTTTAATGAAGAGAACACGATTAGTATAATGGAAACAAGTATTATTATAACCAATTGTACCAGTGATTGTTTTACTGTACCTGTTTGTTTAACTGTACTGAAACCACACCTTCTTCCGTGGACTCTGACCTCGCCCTCCTTCGTTTACGCTACGTAGTCCCGCTTGTACTTTTTGGCACGATCTCGGTATTATTTCGATACCACGAGATAGCTAACGAATATATTCTATTACGACAGTCAATTGCCTTTTGGTCTACGAAGGGATTAGACCTAATATCTGGCACGCAATATTCCTGTAGTGGTGATCATAGTCAATCGCAACTCGACGCCTACTACAAACTCAATACACGGTAGTTAGAACTTACGAAACTATTGGTTTTATTCTCTCAATAAATGACCATAGATTATCTTCAGATGTTAATTTTTCAAAATTCTGAAACCATCTAAGGGAAACTTAAAGTCCTATTCTTAGTGATTCATCCCTAAGAACATATCAGATCCATAGATTACAATAAAAAATTGACTTTTAGATAACTGGATCTTATAAACAATAAATTTATTCATAATTGACAGGTTCAAATAAACGTAAACTAATTTCAGTAAAATATATTTAGTAGAGGGGTATATATATATATATGCGAACGAGATTAATATTAGTAGTATGATTAAAAAAATCATAATAATAAACCATTTTATTCAGTAGAAATAAAATTAGATATACATTGTGATAAAAAATTTCATTAGAATAACTCAATATAAGAATAAAGAGGCTGAACTATGATTCCATGTCCTTTATTGTTAATAAACTTAAATATTATGAAAATAATCTTTAATCTTATTATCACTGAATTAAAACAAAACAAACAAATTTAAAGGGATAGAATTTGAAATGAAAAATTTCAATATACACATAAAATCAAATAAACACACTTTACTTGTTGTATTTTATCTATAGAAAAACCAGACATCAAGATGACCTGATAGTTTACCCAATATGTTTAATATATAGTTATATTTTCATCAGTATGTACAAAACTACATTACAAAGTTATGGGGTTTTATAATGGTCTTGTATAGTTTGATAGACAAGAATGACATTAACTAATACAGAGAAAATATTTGTCATACAGGTTAGCTGTGGTCAAAATATTTCATTAGTTCATCTGACTGATATTAGATCGGATTGTATGAAGAAAGTAAGATTGCAGAAAGATCTTGATGATGAATACCAAATAACACAAAACCTAGACGTAACACTTCTTGCCTTGAATCAGCGACTATCAAAATGATTATACCAAGATACTTAGAAATATTAAGACAAAATTGAGTAGAATCAATATGCAATAGATTTGACCAGATCAACAATTTGGGAAGTGTACGCCTTCTTATTGAAATATGTATGTTATTAAGTCAGGTAAACCCACTGAGTATCTTACATGTTATTGGTTTTCGATAAGATAAAATACATGATATCTAATTCAAAAGTGCTTAGACTATTCTTAACGGTCATCACTGGTTGAATGATGTAATGAGTAAAGTTACAAAATAACATTAGATAGTATTACTGATGGGAACCGCAGAAAAAATAAAATCCAGAACATTTGCTTAACTTTCTATATAGCGGTAAAACGAGGACTTAGCAAAACGAAAAATATAAAAGTAGGGATAACATCAATGACGAAAGAGAACGGATGGAGTCGAGGAATAAGTATGAGATAAATCTGAAACTTCAAGGTTTAGGGAAAGAATGAATAATTTACGCCATTGCAACCGATTTCAAACTGTGTTGCATTCAATACTGGTGGTAGCTTAGTAATTAAGTCAGCATACTGAAAGGAAATTTTTTATTCCAGACCCTAATCGTAGTTCTATCTCGGATTTTCTCTCACCATATCAGCTTACTGAACTCCGGGTAAGTCTTCAGAATGTTGCGTTAGTGTTGAGTGTGTTCGTTGGTGATTACCGATCAGATAAACAGGCTTATGGACACGTTTTCCTCCCTTGTCATTTTAGAGACACTTCTGGTTGAAAGACACTTTAGGCTGTTATTCCACTTTTTCCAAAAAACTATAGCACCTAAATCATAGGCTAATTAGCATTGATTATTTTGGTGACGAGAATGTAATACATAGCGAAAAGTCTCAACTGTTAGAATGAAATATGTAAGAAAGAGAATGTATCAGTGTATGTATGTGATATATCTACACGTGTCGCTTGTGTGAAGAGTAATGAGACTGTTTTCCTAGACATGTACTATAACGGAATTTATAACAATCCTGACATTAAAACTTTTCGTAAATATAGTTGTTTTGTCAGCTTTAATAAAACTTGCGTAACGAAGTCAGTACGTATTTGTAATGAAATAAAAACCCATTTTACTGTGATATCTTTGGATGCAAAACATGTCATTTCAAAGATTTTTCGCGGTTAGATTTCACTTAAGGATTACAGGATATAAAGATTGCTCGTTTTAAGTGAATCCACTTTAATAAACTCATCACCAGCGTCACGAAACTAACTAGTTAAGTGACCTAACACTGAGATTTGCGGTATTCAATAACGGGTCGACGTCAAAGAAGTCGTGAACTCGGATTCCTCGGTAGGTAATACCTATGTCAGCAATGCTTACCTGAAACTTTAGCGCCTTACTCAGTTGGCGAATAATCGGATATTTATATCAACCTTGTTTCTGTCCATAACAGTTCTCAATTTAGACTACTTCAATAACACAATTATTATTGTTACATGTAGTCATCGAACATTATCGTAAGCAACTTTTATCAGAAATTTAAAGATAAATGGGAAAATTAATAATGAATACATAATTTACTAAGTTTGTGTAACCTTCACGATAGTTGTTACGATTTAATCACACTATGGTAAAGAGAACTGAAACTCAGCTGTCCAGTTATTAATACTCAGATGCAAAGCTGTTGAATAGGTGGTAGTCTATTTAAAATATATGAAATATCCACTCAAGATTATTTATAAGTACCACTGGCAACCTGCTAATCATAACTATCTTAAATGATCGTACGAAAATTGCTTATCCTTCAAAAATGGGTTAACAACAATAGACCTTAGACTGACGGAAGTATTTAACACTGAGCTTACTATAGATCTATTTCGAAATGTTCGGTTTGTTTTCTGTTTGCTAAGGGAATGGATAAAAAGTTTTTAACTATTGCGACAATTTTGAGCGGTAAGCGAAAAAAATTAAACCCAACACATAACTAGTGAAGCAATGGTAAACCGATGAACATAACCAAGTATATGTGCACTCAAACACAATTAAAAACATAATTGTGTACAAAAGTAAGAGCTTTTATATGAAACACATATGGGGTAGACAGCTTGTGTCAGCGTTTGTGGAATTAAGTAAAGCGAAAATGAGAATATATTTGGAAAACTGATTTAGATTAAAGGTTATCAAAAGTAGCAAGCAACTGTCCCATAAAAATGAAATACAAAGAAATACAAGTAAAGAAATTAATAAATACAACTGACTGATTGTTTAGAAGAACTGAAATGCAATAACGCATGTATGGATTTTACTTATACTGATTTGTCCGATTTGAAACTGGATTTTCCCAAACTAATGGGATCAGTTTGCGTTCGCTTAATTTATCAGTAGCTGATACATTAGAATGATGACAAAACTGGGTAGAATGAGAATAATGAATTAACGGCATAGATAACCGGGATCGATTAATATAAGCGCATCGAGAATGTTCATTTTCTAGCTCACTTAATCCCATATTTTCAGCTTCTGAAGGAGGGGATGAAGTAGAACAAGCTGAAAGAGAAGCGGACGTTGTAGGTTTACAATTACGATCAAAGCTTACGCTATTATTTACAAAAACCATGGAGGTAGATAGAGAAGGAATATCAACAGAAGTTAGTGAAGACTGATTAGACGAGTTAAGATGTGGGTGGATATACATACTAGTCGCTAGTGGAAGTAATACAGTCGTGTTGACTGGTGTTGTAGAAGAGGAATGTAATTGATGGACAAGATGAACCGGTACTTCACGAACGGGACTTTCAGGGGGCTCTATATCACCTTCTAACACAGCATTTGATAGTTGCACAGTTCCAGGTTCAAAGCAAGCTTGAAGAATTTGATATGCTTCACGCATTTTGCGCTGTAAATAGAAAATAAAAAACTTAGTATGTTAGATAATCTAATTAAATATAGATTTGTTTTTGCAGCTTTAAAAATATAGATTTCAACAACTCAAAATGTCTTATCACGGTTCTTAAAATAGAAATCCATAATCCTTAACAATGAATGATGACAATAAGTGATTACATGACAATGGTCTAAATACTTTGGATCAACATTTTTACTTAGGCCAGTTCAACTGACCTGCTGCTCCGGCAACACCGGTCAGGCTGTCCTGCCCTATATGGCCGGTGACGACTGATCCACCAAATGAGGCAGATGTATACAAGGAGCTCCAACTCTTGAAGCGCTACAAACTACCAGGCCCAGATGACTTACCTCCGGCTCTTTCTAAAGATGGTGGTGACTAAGGAACTGACTGTGTTGTTTACAAAGGTTTGGGAACTAGAGAGTGTACCAACGTCATGGAATACGTCGATAGATGTCCCTATCTTTAAAAAGGGTTCACGTCGTTCCTGTAACAATTATCGGAGGATAAGTTTACTTCCGATTGCGTCCAAGCCCTGGCTTCCGTCATACTTCGTAGGTTGTTCAAAACCTGAGAAAGATTGACTCGCGAAGAGCAGGCTGGTTTTCGTTCTGGTCGAGGCTGTATTGATCATATCTTCAGCCAAATGTTAGAACACCGTCATACTTATCACAGGCCAACAATCGTAGTGTTTCTTGACAGCAAGGCTACCTTCGATTCGTTGGACAAGACTGTTCTCTGGGATTGTCTATTGAAGGGAGAGCCTGAGAAGTTCATTAACATCCTAAAGGACCTATATACAAACACCTCGGGCAAAATGAGGGCATACAACCACCTCTCTCCATTGTTCCATTTAAGCAGTGGGGTTAGACAGGGTTGGCTAATCTCACCATTCCTCTTCAACTTTGCCATCGACGACATTCTGGAAACAGCTCTGATGTATGTAAGTAATGGCAGTGTGGATCTATTGCCTGGAGAAAGACTCCTCGATCTTGAGTCATTTATGGCGTAGGTGAGATATCCGTCTATCAACCAAAGTACGTGTTTACTGCGCAGCAGTTCGTTCCGTCCTACTTCGTAGCAGTGAAACATGGCCGGTAAGAGTCGAGGATATCCGTAGGTTACTAGTATTTGATCATAGGTGTCTTCGAAATATTGCTCGTATATTCTGGGACCATCGAGTAAGTAATGCAGTTGTTAGGAAACGAGTACTAGGCGAGGATGGCAAATCAATTGATGACGTAGTGAAACTTCATCAGTTGAGATGACTGGGACATGTGTTACGTGTGCCCAACCACCGACTGCCTCGGCGTGCGATGTTCAATGGTATAGGAGTAGGTTGGAAGAAAGCTAAGGGCGGCCAGACCAAAACATGGCACAAGTCTATGAAGTCACTGACAAGTAGACTGAGCCATGTTGGTAGGTGGAGACTACCTGGTTGGGGACCGCGAGATGATAGTAACCGATGGTTAGAGACCTTGAATGACATGGTTCAAAATCGTTTGCAATGGTGCAGGTGCATTCATTCTTTGTGTTCTCCCAAATTATAATCTTCTGAATTCTTCATGTCCCTTTCTTTTTTCTCTTTCCAAATTTATTTCGCTGGATTATACTCCTTGAATAACATCTTCAAAACCTAATTTTTCTGATTACAGCTTATAATTTTGCTACATCTAGCACTACGGGATTTGAATCGACCACTGCATCTCTGTGCAAATGGGGTGTGGCAACTCGAACTGATGTACGTACGTACGAAATTCTACGTTGTCACTGACTGACGTACCTCGACCTTGGGCATGCGGATGACATTTTCTTACTGTGCGATAATGCCCAAGGCATGCAATCCGCACTTAATCAGTTGGCAATCAGTGTCCGTAGGTACGGTATGTGCTTTGCACCTTCGAAGTGCAAAGTACTTCTACAAGACTGGAGGGATTCTAATCCTGTACTCATCCTGGATGGTGAGCAGATAGAAGTAGTCGAGAAGTTCGTATACATAGGTAGCTGCATAAGTGCTGGTGGTGGCGTGAGTGATGAGATCAATTCACGTATAGTCAAAGCACGAGCGGCTTATGCAAATCTAGGCCACATTTGGTGCCTTCGTGATGTTAGTCTAGTTGTAAAAGGTCGGATCTAAAACACGTCGGTGAAAGCAGTTTCGATCTATGCTTGTGAATCCTGGTCTTTGAGTTGAGGATGTTAGACGACTCTCTATGCTTGATCATCGTTGTCTCCGAAGGATTGCTAACATCCAGTGGCAACATCATGTTAGTAATGCAGAGGTTTGGCAACGTGTGTTCGGGCACAGACGATAATCCAATTAGTGTCACTATCTTGAAACTTCGGTAACTTGGATATGTCCTACGAATGTCGTCCCAGAGAATTCCACGTCGTGCATTATTTGCCGACTCTGGGACTGGTTGGAAGAAGCGGAGAGGTGGTCAGTGTATGACATGGTGTCGTGGTATGAAGGAAAGCTGCAAAGGACTGACTTCTGTCGGTCCTTCACGACTCCCTGGTTGGGGTCCGAGAGATGGTGCTACACAGTGGCTAGAGACGTTATCAGATATGGCTTAGAATAGAAGCCAGTGGCGATCCTGCTAAAACCTTCTTTTACTTTCTTCATAAAAAGTGGTTGTATCTTCCTTAACTGAAAGGATTCTTCTGGTTGTACTTTTCCGTTTCCCCCATTATTATTATTACCACAGTACTTTACACTAATCTGGTCGTTATTGTTCTTTTTTTCTGTCACGCTTATTACCTTCTTTTTTCTTCCCCCATTCTCATTGTTTTGTGTGGCGCACATATATTTGGTGCTCTCTTGTATCAATATTTGTGTTCAAATAGATAAATAAAATAAAACTTAGGGAACCCCGAAATTTCCGAATCTTGACAAACTTCGTGAACAAATACTGTATTTTGTGTAGTATGGTGTTTAATTTAATTAAGCAGTATTTTTTTAATTTTTAAATGTGCAAGGAATTAATAATTGTAGTTTGGAAAATATGTAACCCATAGTTGGTACTGTTTTAAATCCTGAACGAGTGAGCGTCTAAGTTACATGTCAATTTATCAATGACTAGAATTTGAGATACTGAGCACTTTAACGATGTAATCAAATCATGAGAAGTGTTTTCCCAGAAGTATGGAAACATGTGAGCTATGAATTAAAAGACTGTATTTGTGAGCGTAGATGTGGAGCATAGTAATAAAAATATCGTCGGCACCACTAAAGAAAGAAACATATGCATGGGTGAGATGTATTTTAAAGGATCATCTCTTTACAATGATGTCCTTAAGCGATGCGAAGTTGTAACTATCCAGAAACAATGAAAGGTATCGAACTAACAGGCAATATTTGCGAATAAGTAATACGTTAAATGTTTACTGTATCAGATAGTAGGAATCTATTATTAGTAGAGTAACCTTACACAAGTTATTGTTATAGATTTTGGCGGATTTACTAGAACAAGTCAAAGCGTTTAAACTTCACACCAGGCTTGATTAAATGAAGTGGAGAAATCAAACGTTTTATTTGGAAGAACTTGGATAACGGGCTTTACGAGTTACTTCAAAATTTTTGTAACATGCTTCTTAAAGAAAAATATATGGGTGAGAAAAGAGTAATTTAAGATGCCTCTAAGAATAAATAGTAAAATTTTTAAATATGTTTTCTAATGTGTTAACTATACTCGATGAAATTTCGAAAAGAAGCTATCAGGCTATGAGTATAATAAAGGATAGTCTTCCAAATAAAATTGAAATAATAACTTATTTCAATAAATACAACTGATTGGGTTTTGATTCAAAAATATCATATTGATGTTTAGCGAAAAATTTTGATTTGCAAAATATCACAGATTTGATACAAATTAGTTGTTCGGCAGACATTTGTTACATGTTTACTTATTCTGAGTTTTGCGATTCAGATTGCACTTGTTTGGAGACTTATATCCATGTGTAGAATTGCAGAATACATAATGAGAAATATGTACAAATGATCACTTAATTTTATTAAGAGAATATTTATTTATTGGTACTCTCGAAGTACTAAAATAAAATGTAAAACCATTAATAATACATTTAAAAAGAACTCACTGCTTCAAGCCTTAAAATTCGCTGAATACGGGTAACTGATCTGATAGCAGTATCACTTAAATCCCGATGTACAGTTAGATTCAAAGCATAAAGAATACATGCGGCTGCTATATAGCTGGGCATATAAGTACTAATTTCTTCAACTAAAAAATAGAAAAAAATTACTGACAATAAGACTTATCGGAACAAGTCATCGGATAAATGCATTGAAATCCTAATAAGACGTGCTGATGACACTGAAAATTTGACCTGATTTTAAATACAACAATCAACTAGATTTAATCCAGGTTACTGTGTGGAGAATGATTGAATGCTAAGTCAGTTGATAAAAACATATTTGATATGAAACAATATCGGTTCACAATGTTATTACATTGAGTAGCGCAGGCATAGAGAACTAGAGATCACAAGATTGAATTAGGATAACGGTGAGATAGTAAAACATAACCATGCCTTATTATATTTAGAAAATTAACAGGAGGTTTGTGATCTAAAGGATTATAAAGTGAATGAATGTATGTCACGGACAATGATCTTCAAACAATTGTCCGGGGTCCAACAAAATCCAGTAAGAAAGTCTTTCACCGTCCATATGACCAGTGATTTCATGAACTGATATTGTGTAGTGTCAGCGATAAGTCATGATATATAAAACGAATATGAGATGTGCATCGGTTCGAATTGTTGCACATTGCCTTATGAGAAAAAGTCAAAATAATATCAAACAGGAAATATAATTGAGGAACACTAAAGACTCAAGGATGAAAAGCATGGATACTAGAAAATCAATGTTTGAAACGTGGTGAAAATTTACTACATTTGAGTCACTGTAGACGGTTTAAATTGTCACATATAGATTTTGCAAAAAATAACATGGGAACTGAAAACTACTTCTATTACACATCACAACAGCTTTTTTCCACTCATGCTATTCTTTTCAGTGCTTACGGTTATTGCGTACGTTTGTGCTCAGCTTATAACCTGATAAAGTCAACTACGTCTAAATTGTGATGTTATTAAGGTTGTCTTGATTTATCAACGTTTGTCGTATTTTACTAATAGGTTCAACTAGTGCCAGACGGAAGGTTACCTTAGTAAATTAGCATTGAATTTCTTTCTGATTATTCGGCTTTTTACATATAAACAGAGCACAGATAGATATATTTCCTCAGTGAAGTTAAAATAGCTACAAATAAATGGGTGCATCAGCTGCATAAGACTTGAAACAATTTCCCGAAAAACCGGAACTACTACTTGTATCATAATTAGCACTGATTTGCTTATATCTATCCCTGGATTGAATTGAACGTAGATAACAGAAATGATACAAAAATCAACTTCGCGAAGGGACTAGAGGACCATAAGGCGTCCTGGTGCTCTTACGTTGGAACATCTCAAGGTACGAAAATGAGTTCAGAGTGCAAAGAAGTCACATGGGATCAGTAGTCTAAGTATGAATATCTAGTAACAATCTACAAAATCATGTGAACTGATCCGGAGCGACATGAGATGTAATGATTCTCCAATCCCATCTTTTTTCTGAGGTAACATGTTCGATACTACTCGCAGAACACGTTAACTGTAACGTTACAATAGCACTTGATGGCACTACGACGGTATCGCACTTGAAGCTTTTGGTTTCCCAGCTAATTCCGTTACTTCTGGCCTGTTTATCATGGGCGGTGAATACTTGAAGGATTAGTTTGAATGTGATAAAATTGCAACATCAAATGGGTACGGTTTGCTTCAGACGATTCGACACACTGGGTGTCAAGATTCACTGAGGTATAGATATTAGGAAAATTTTACGAATGGCAAGACACTGATTGCAAGTTTATAATTACTAACCTGACACTTGGAAAGAAACATGAACTACCTGTAAGGTGTTCAAATGATAGGGTAAATTAATCTTGGATAGCAGCTTTTTTTAATTAGTGATCAATCACTAACAGTGGTGTGACAGCAAAACGCCTAAGTGGGTTTCGTTATGGTACTCAGAGAAACTAGCAGGGTAAGGTTTCATACGTTTACAGCAAAACTTACGAGACCTCCTATAGTTTTAAACTCAATATTAACAGAACATGATCAACAAGAAATTTAAGGCCTTAGTATTGTGAACTTTATTTATGAGCTTAGTGTCATACATAAATATAAGGCTAGACTCAATCCAAAGTAACTGCTTAGTGTTGAAAATCAAGTCAGGTGAAAATCGGATAGTTTTAGTTATACTAGTAACGAAGCTGATAGCTTGTCTGCAACGCTAATTCCGAGATATTTCCCAATTAAGCGTCAAATACATATGGACAGAACAGTCGCAATTAACCAGTTTTTCTAGGATAAAGCCTTGGTTCGTTAAAAAAATCTAGGGTGTAAAAATGTGTCAAGCCAAGATGACAAGCGACTTATATTCAGACATTAATATCCGACTAGGGTATTTGAAGCATCGGATGTGAAACTCGGAAATACTATTATATCTCATCATTGTAGGCAATTAGACAATGTACTGCTCAGCTATTAGAGACAACTGCACTGAGCAAACACTTGCGAATACATTTAGCTAAATACTGCTGGAACAGAAATAATGCAAATTAAGTTCTGAAGTAACTGCTTGTGTTAGCACAAATGAAAAATGTGACGTAATATTCCACACAAAGTAATGATTCTATCAAAAAGGGAATCTAAATATTACAGAGAGTATACAATATAATTCTTACCGTGAAAAGCCTTAATATATATACAAAGTGCAGCCTGACGAATAATTTGACGCAAGCTAGGTACGAACTCAAGGAACTCAACCACAGGAGCGACAAAATCTACCGGGGTAATGCAAGTCAAGTCCCACATGAGTGATATACACACTGTAAGTTCTTTGGCCTGAAGTATAAGTGAATGAGAAAAAAAGTCTTACTAAGACATCCTGTTCTGTCAGTGAATTGGCTGTGTATTCTGTGACTTTTCTTAAGGCTATAGGTACAGTTTCTTTCAGTTTGCTAGAGATGAAGAAGCACGTTGCACCCACAAGTTGATACTCATTTTGCTCAGTTGGCACTATGTGCATATAACGATCAATCAGCTGTGCTGTGTGTGCTAGAACTTCACCATCAGTCCCACGATGGATACAGATCTATGATAGTTGTGAGAATCTAATACATCAACCTACATCTCGAAGCCAATTAAGAAGAGATCGTCTCATCCATGTGGTTCTTGCAGGAGATTGTGAAACACAGAAACCAGGAGTGCTGTGATATCGTTTCTCATCAATTAATAAATCCTCAATAACTCTTAGGTTTCTTGTAAAAAACGGATCATATTTCGCTTGTGCAACGGTTACAGGTCCTTCAGATGAATTAGTACAGGGATCGCTTGTATCTTGACCAGATACATCCATAAGTATAACTAAAACCTTTACAAACCATCCAGAACGTTGCTCAGATGGTCAAACGCTGCGCAACTAACTGACGAACAGATTTCTCCGAGGCGTTAAAACAAAGCGAGTATTATGACCTTCGTTGTACCAGTGTTAAGAATAATTTTGATATATTGCTAACGAATATTGAGTACTCACGACTTTTGTATGTACCACTTACGATGTTCGAAAATTCAGTACCTCAGTATGCGTTCCTCCAAAGAATCCAGATCATGCTAATAAGTTTAACACTAGAGATGAGACATGATATTGAGTATATACCCCTCAAAAAGTTTCATAAATCTTCAGCATTGATTCTGGCATCATTGTTTTTACTGGATATACCTAGCTGAAGGCGCTCGGCTACATATCAGCACTGGATCAACAGTAGGCACGTCGCGCTACGTATCCTTCGCAATAACGTTCGGAATATTACTTCTGTATTGTGGGATATTTTTTACCCAGTTAAATATTTTATCCTCATTATGACTGGATAGACACAGGAGCTGTTTAAGATTGATACTTTTTCGCCTCACGCCCTTCAACTCATGTCATTCTTGCTCGATAATATCGAAGTGTGGTTCAGCTACATAGGATCTGACTCACAAGAGCACGGCGAGATAGACTCACTTGCTCTATTCGTCACAGTAATGAAGGTACTACCACGTGGTTTTAGCAGGTACGTCACACCTATTATGTATACTGGTGATAATTCTGAACCTAACGAAAATATAAGGGAGGCGATCCCCATATATGAACAACTAACCGACCGACAAATATTAGACCAACTCTTCCATAACATCGAGTGACAACACGACCCAGCAACAGAAATGGCGCTATATATGCTGGAGGTCATTACTCAACAGACATTTGATGAGGGCATTTTCAAACAGCTTTGCCTCTACAATCTCACCCAACAGGTGCAAGTGGTTCCTACAGCATTCCGAATAACGCTGTACACAAGCTGGCTTCATCCGCTGACTGGAGTCTGGAGATCGCTAGGACTCTCAACATCAGGGTTTGCTCTGTCAAGGAGAAGCCTCAAACGACATAAAATAACATTAGAGGTCTTTGGAATTCTCCTGCTCGTCATCTTCATATTCATCATGACCACAAACGCTTCCGGATTCCTAGGAGAATCGCGTCACGAGGAAGATGTGTTTCTCGATCACGGGAGGTAGATAACCCTGATTGGTGTTGGCACGACAACACCCCCTGTAAGTTTTCAAGAAATTGTTGAGAACTGTGCAGTGTCCCAGTCTCTGTACCGTCTGACACGACTAACCCTCGTGGAATATTCGCTCATTGGATTTTGTTAACGGAGACTGTATTTGCTCGAGCATTTCTCATGCAAATGATCTCCGATAGGGACAACAACGATCGCTTCTCAACTGGTGATTGTTGACAACTGAATATGAAGATAATTTCCGATCGTTACCCTTTAGTGTATACCCATAACATAACAAACACCGTAAAAAGTTCGACTGCCTTTTGAAGATCGACCTGGTTTAAATGTATATTAATACTCTTGATGTCTATAGTATCTTTATTTTCGTTGTCATATCAGTAACAGAGAGGGACAACTATAAATAAAAACTAAGGTTACCATTGGTAAGTGCTTGTGGGATGGCTAAACGAACTAGAAATAATCGTACTAAGTTTCAGGTTAAGAAATATGAAAAGTTCTCTAAATTTCCTACACTTTGTGATATTGAGACCATTTAAGATTTTTCACGTGATCCGTTTCAAGAGGATTTTTTTTCAAATTTCACGTCGTTCCTGGTTATTTTACTGATCGAGTCTCAAGTGTTCAATTCTCAATAGAACATTCCAAACTCCAATCAAAAAGGGTCTGGGATTTTTTTTCATCGTAGAGTAAGGAGATGTATATACTTAACTCTAACCAGCAACCGCGAAGATATATCGGGGAGATTTTAAAACTGATAAAAAAACTCATGTCGATAAATTGAGCTGAGTTTGATATAAACCGGATAGTGATTTCAAGGGATGCGTAGCACGACGTATCCATCGGCGATTTGGTGCTGATGTGTGACCGAGCTCCATCGGCTAGGTATATCCAGTAAAACCAATGAGGTCAGCATCAACACTAAATAGTTAAGAAACAATTGATTTTGAAGATTTATTTGCTGCTACAGGTGTTTGCCATCTCGTCGATATTGAGACAGTAACTAGCATTATTCATACGAAATCAAACTATTGTCTGCAAAAGCCAGTACTCGATCTCCAGGCTATGGACGAGAAACCAACCATCATATGCAGTGAAGGAATTTTTTATTTGAAGGCGGTTTCGAGCAAATCCATTAACTAAATTTCTGTTTTTGAGGATTCTTCAGCGCATATGCTTGTTATAGATCTGACGGAACATCACAAATTTGTCGTCATTCCGAAAATTGAATGATAGTGGACTGGCATATTAAGTTTTGTTGAAGGTACATTCCTTTCTGTTCGTACATTGTTACCAGTTCAGGTTTGAACATGCTGTCAACTTACACTTACAACGGATACTAAAGTGGTATTCAGAACTATACAAACTGTTGCCGAAAATGCAATATGTAACAAGCGACGTTACTTACCACATCACAGCTGTCGGCAACTACTTTCGACTTTTATGACATCATTCAAAAACACTACTGCATAGAATCTCACTGCACTAACAACTTATTTTTATTGATTCGTCTTTTATGAATATGTTAACAGTTATGGTTATTCTATTTCTACAAATATTATTATTATTAATGGCTTTATCCAATATTATATTTTGGTACAATATAGAATTCTCAGCACAGGGTATTTCAACAAGTTACTTACGCAAAAAAGTAACAAATACAAAAAGGGCTTGAAAAAAACCCGAAAAACTGTACAGCTTTTAAAATGAGAGACATGTTAAGAAGGCAGTTTATTGACTAGGTTAACTCTAACAACCTGTTCGTCACAGAGTATATTTGCTAGGTAAGGTATTGTAGAACTTTTACACTTTTGCTTGCGCGCATGGATTTTAATGTAATTACGTCTCGTTCTACCAGAAGATATACAAGAAGAATGATATGTGTGAAGGGGATGACTAGTATTTGATAAAATAACACCTGACAGGAGTTTGCATGATTTTAGATGTCTATCCACAACCATATTAATTATGACCTCGAAAGATTCACCACACATCTTGCCAACTGCCTTCAGCACTATCCGCAACACAGCAATGTCTTTTCTCAGAAGCCCGGGAAAGAATAATGGAGAACAGTAAAGAATAATAGATAATATGCAAGAATTTACAAATTGTAAGAGTAAATGACGAGTAATCCCAAGGGCATGTAATCTCTTTATGTAGTAAGTCAGATGGAAAACCTTCTTCGATAACGATAAAACGTGGGAAGACCAAGACAGATCAGAGGAAAAGGTGACACCAAGATAATTGACCTTCGACACTGAGTTTATCAAAGAGTCTCCGATGGTACAAGCATTATGGGATCTCAAAATAGTGTTTATATTCCGTTCATATCTCATGTTAAAGTTAACAGCTTGACATTTAGACGGATTAAGTATGAGACCACTACCAACAGACCAACAATCAATACGAGACAAAAACTCATTCATTTCTATGTGATGTAAAGAGGAAGAGATAGGCGTACATACAGTGAGATCATCCGCATATTTCACAAAAGTGTTTTCTGTGGAAGATGGCAGATCATGCAGAAAAAAAGGAGAAAAGAAGAGGTGAAAGAACAGCTCCTTGCGGTACACCTTCATGAGACTCTGAACACTTCCCTCCAAATACAGTATTTTGTTCCCTTCCAGAGAGGTAGGAACATAGCCAGTTGATTATCCAGCTGTCAGTGTTGACGCTGATTAACTTGTTAAGTAAACGTTGTCTTGGTATAGAATCAAAAGCTGAAGTATATTCCAGAAAAGCACATCGAACATACTTCTTACCCTTTTCTAAGTTGAACACTATGTTGTGATGCAGAACTGCAACAGCATCTAAGGTGCTTCTTTTGCATCTGTAAGCAAACTGATATGGATCAATATGCTCTTTTATCGCAGGCTGAATTGGAAGTGTTAATCATTTTTCCATTGTTTCGAGGAAGGATGAAGTTATTGCAATAGGTCTAAATTTCACATTATTATCACCAGATGCTTTTTTGGGTACAGGAATTATCTTCATCTTTCTCCACATTTTCGGCATGAGATTAGATGAGAAGGATCTGTTAAAGGTAGGTGTGAACGGATAACATAGGACGTCAGCACATTTTTTAAAATGGATATTTGGGATACCATCAGGTCGGAAACATCGAGATGAATTAAACGACTGGGGACATGTTCGTACATTAGTTTCAGTGAAAGTAGTAAAACAGCTAGTTTTTAAACTTGTGGATAGAGGGAGCATCACATCAGATGACTGACGTGCAAAAGACTTATTTAAGTCTCAAACATTCAGCTGGTTATCGCTCCCGAACTGTCTGTCACCTGTAAGTTCTTTAAAGAGTTTCCACATACTTGGAGAGTTTTTGCAAGACAAGAGTTTTTGAGTAAACATACAGTTGAGACGTCCAATCTCTAGGTTTATCAGACCATTTAGCTTACGAACTTCATTAGAGTTCTCCCTGTACATTCTTTCTTTCATCCTCCGTAGTCGTTTTAGTTGTGAAGATGTAAGTCGATCAAAACTTACAAAAATGGTTTCAGTGGGACAACAAATATCGAAACAGAATTTAAGGTAACAAGTTACAACATCAGTAGTGTTTTCCAGTGAGTCATCTGTAAATAATTCCCAGTTAGTCGTATGAAGCATGGTTTTCAGATTTCGGATATTTTCTTCTGAGTAATTCCTATATTTGACTTTCTCGGTTTGATGTAAGAGTGCACTCTTCCTATGCTTTCCATATACTTTAGGTAGAACACGAATTATACAGTGATCTGAGCTAGACAATGGAGCACGTTTACGAGTCGCATATTTATCCACATCA